AGTGCGGGCGGAGAGTGGAGCTCAAATTCCACTTTAATCAGACTCGATTCCGCAGAATGCTCCCTTAATGAGGGTTAATGACATTAATTACTGTCCCCTCCACTTAAGAACATGCTCAAGAGGAGCTAATTGTCACATAATGGCCCAGGAATGGCTGACACCCTAGCAGAGCTCGAGGGGTCTGCGTCCCCTCCTTCCACCGATCCCCGCCTGCCCACCCGTGATCGCCTCCTTTCCGTTTCCTCCCACGGGGCTGTCGTGTTTCCTGTCTCTGTGTCAATTAGAAGGGGGAGCTGCAGCACACGGCTGCCTAACCTTCCAGGGGGACTGTGGGGTTTCAGATCGCCACCAGGCTCAGGACATTTGGGGCCCGCTCTGTGGATGAGCACTGGGCCCTCCCCTACGTGTGCGGGTAGTGTGCTGAGCGCCGCTTTAGAGGAGAGTCTGGCAAGAGCTCCCAAATGCAAAATGCACAGGTAATTTGGCCCAGGAATTTCTCCTACAGAATTTTTTTGGTACATTCCCATAAAGAATATATAAGGTCATCTATTGCAGCATGGATGGAATAGCAAAAAGGTGCAAACAATCTAAATGCCAAAGAGTGGACCGATTAAATAAATGACGGTATATCCATAAAGTGGATAGCTATGTAGTGAATACAAAACGAGGCCAATCTAGATGTACTGACGTGAAGCAATATCCCAGATGTAGTATTGAGTGAAAAGAGCAAGGGGGTGGGACAGTGTGTATGGAGTGTTACCACGTGTGTAAAAGAAGTGGAATGTGTGTGTGGGTATATGCACACACATGTATTCACCTCCCTCCACACCCACCACACGCACAGCAGGGGGTGGGGACGTAAGTACCAGCATGTCCTCGGCTGTGGTGTGCTGGGCTCTTGTGGGTTTGCAGGGACACGCCAGGGGTTCGGTCTGTGGGCAGTGCAGGACATGGTGTGCCTGCAACCGGGGCAGCCACGGTTCAGACAGGGCTCAGGCACCCTGTGGGAACAAGCGCCCACACCTGGCACTGGGAAGCGCAGGACGTCATCGTCTGGGAGAAAAGAGTGGCTGGTGGAAAGTACGTCTCCATGTCTGTGTGCTGGGAGAAGAAGATGATCAAGTAGAAAGGGGAGGCAGGCCGTCTTTACCAATTAATCATAAAACTCCGGTGACTCTAAAGCTGCACGGTCCAATACGTTAGTCACAGTAGCCACACGTGGCTATTTAAGGTGAAATTCACATTGAATAACATTAAAATTCAGTTCTTCAGTTGCACTAGCCACATTTCAAGTGCTTGGTGCGCACGTGTGACTATTGGCTATTCCTACCAGGAGAGCACAGATCTAGAACTTTCTATCATTGCAGAAAGTTCTATTGGATAGTGGTCTAGATCTGCGGTCCCCAATCCCGGAGCTGTGGCCTGTCAGGAACACCCGGCAGGAACACCACCTGAGCTCTGCCTCCGCCTCCACCCTAGGAACCCGGCCACACAGCAGAGGTGAGCCGCGGTGAGTGGCGGGCAGGCTCCCCACCACTTGCATCACCGCCTGAGCTCCGTGCCACCCCCCATCCGTGGAAAAACTGTCTTCCATGAAACTGGCCCCTGGTGCCAGAAACGCTGGGGACTGCTCTCTAAAGCATATGTATCAAGTTTCCATCATGTAATTATTGTTTTTAAACTTTATCAACATAAATTTGTATGAGTTCTGAAAAAGTGTGCTTGTCATTAAACTGAGACCAAGTTAAATGGTATTTTAAAAATTTCGTTTACTTTCCCCCTCACAATTGTCATTTCTTTACAGTGCAGATCCTATTACTTTGCAATGAACGTCAAATCCCAGAGCCTTGAAGTCGTCTTCTTGGGTCGTAAGCACGGGTCTGCTTCCCAGACATGTGAAGGGATCTTGGTGGAACCATCTTGGAGACATGAACGTCTCCAGAGGTCAGGGTGGGGGAGTCTGCATCTCTCAGCCACACCGGGCTTTGGCCAGATGAAGTGGGTAAGTGGAGGCCAGGCCGAGCGTCTGTGGACACTGGGTTCCTTTGGATGAGAAGGCAAGTCTCTGCAAGGACACTGAGAAGGCAGCAGCGTGTGTTCGAGAGGACAGATTCGGGGGACTCCCTGCTGGGGAGCGCAGAACTGCTCAGGGCCCATCATCCTGTGACCGTCTCTCTGCCCCAGTTTGTGCCAGTCTACTGTGTACAGACCCCAGGGTAGGAGGACACGCGGGTGGCCGGAAGACACCTGGAAACCGCCAGTCTTCTTGGGCATCAGTGATCCACGCTACTGGGAATTCTGGGGAAGCTTGGAGATGGAGCCGGGATTGTGACGTGGGAGACCGTGTGAGTTTCTGTGGCGTAACCCCAAACCGTCAGGCATTCTTACCACTCTGTCCCGGACGTCCGCTTCCTCTGATTGTGTTCGCACCACGATTCGGATGTGGGTTCCTTGCTGTCTTCCACATTTACCTTTCATGTTCTCGCAAAATTCAAATTTCTCTTTCGACCATTTTCTTTCTTTTTTTTTTTTTCTTTCGACCATTTTCTACTCTTCAATCTCTTTCTTAGTTACCATTTTCTACTTCTTCACTGAGGCTTCCTCTTCCAGGTGCATCTATCCCGATTTTACATCGCGGTTTCCGCCAGCCGCGGCGGCCAGAGCGTCAGTGCTTGCGGTGAGCCCGAGCTCAGGGCCAGCGTCCCACGCGTGGGCAGCGCGACCCTGGACTTCGGTTACTTCCCCTTCAGAATTAGGATGTTGCAATAATTCATTTTTAAGATTTTGTTTCAGCTCCAGCAACCAAATTACCAAGTCTGTTCAAGGAAAAGAGCTTTATTCTACTATACAGGATATATTACTATAGCAAATAATTAATTTATTAAAATATGTGTAAGATACTATACAGTGTCTATGGATTAATAAGAAGCTACTGTACCGATGATACAGTCAATACTTAATAGTTGTCAAAGTAGAATATTCTCTCTCACATTTTAAATCTGCCAACGAGTACCGATGAGATGAAGCATCCAACTTGGAAAGATGGTGGGTTTCAGTTATGTAGACACCAAACACAGATTGAGTGACAGAAACGGTGGTTGCGGACGCGGCGCAGTGCCAGGCTTGCTGGCATGACCGGGCACACGCAGTGGGGGTGAGTGCGGCCACTGCACGTTTCTGTGTCTCCTCCCCGGGCTCCATCGGGCGGCAGCGCTGAGTCCGCTCTCTGGAGAGCAGCGCTGTCTCCCCCCAGAGAGACCCCACAGTGGTCCTCAGGAAGCCACTACTTTCTCTTCTTCTCCTTTTTCCCCTTCTTTTCTTTCTTTTTCCCTTTATCCTTTGGCTTTTCTGTGCTGCCTCCCGTTAAGGCCAAGGCTCGCTTTTTACCCAGAGGGGTTTTGGCATACCAGTTCTGAAATAAAACAGAGTTCAGGAAAGGGTCAGAATGGCATGAGTTTCCTGGAACCCTCCTAAAAATAAAGAAAAACCTGCTCAGAAGGAAGGGCCGGCAGCCGCTGTCCTCTGGGCGTTTAATGTATGTTTAACACAGACTCTTTCTCGTTGGGTTTCCCACCTGCATGTCTGCATGATTCGAAACTTCTCCCTCGGGGATTCGCAGTTGCCGAGAATCGCAGGCTAAATCTCACCTACAATCCTTCCCCACTAAGCCACCTGTTTCCCCGGGTGGCTTGCGTCCTGAGGGGGGTTTTCTTGGTAATGTGCGTGGTCCCCACAGCTCACACATGGTCACCAGGAGCTGGACTGGTGGCCATGTGTGAACAAGGGCGGCCATTCAGATACTCGGACAGAGACACCGTTGAAAACGTGGCGGAAACACCAACCCAGCACTCAGTGATTATAACTGATCGCGCCGTGGAACTGATGGTAACTTTGTTTCTAGCACTTAGGGATTTTCTCTTCCTTCTTTTAGCCTTGGCTCTGTTTGTAATGTAAGGTGAGGTGGCCACATACTCATGGTGATGGACTCCTAATTTATTGAGACACGGTAGAGAACATAGTTAATAAAATTGGCTTCCGAGTAAGGTATGAATTTCAGCTCTGCTTCTTTTTTAGCCGTGTGACCTGCAACAAGTTACTTTGCCTCTTGTATTGTTTATTTTATCGCTGCTGTGGCAAAAATGGCCACAAACTCAGTAGCTTAAAACAGCACATTATCTTCTAGTTTTGCAGGTGAGACGTCTGAAGCAGGTTTCACTGGGCTAACAGTGGCTGCAGTGTGTTCCTCCTAGAGCCTAAGTAACAATCTGTCCCCTTGTTTTTTGCAGCTTCCAGAGACCACCTGCTTTGCTGGCTGTGGTCCCTGGTGCATCTTCAGGTAGTAACCCTGGGCTACCTGGGGTAGGGATGAGTCCTTCTCATGCTGCTCTCTCCGGTTCTCTCTTCTGGGTCCCTCTTCCACTTTTCGTGATGACACTAAACTGACCAGGGTAATTCAGGGCACTCTGTTTGTGTTCAGGTCAGCTGGTTAGCAGCCTCACTCCATCTGCAACCTTACTTCCTCTTTGCCATGCAATCTGATGTATTTACGGCTTCCAGAGGTTAGGATGTAGATGTCTTCGAGGGGCCATTATCCTGCCTACCACACCTCCCTGTATCTCTGTTTCCTCATTTGCAAAACAGGGGGATTGTGAGGTCTGGATGAGTTAATAGTGGCAGGCACATAATAAGAAGTCAATACGTATTAGCTAACATTTTAACCATTTTTATTGTTACTATAGTTGAATATTTTCTCCATCATGTCCATGGAGGAGTGTAGAATGTGTTTGAAGAATCTTTAAGATCTTAGTCTGATACATTGTCAGAAACACAATTAGGTGAGATTTCTCAGGGTTTGCCCCATCACAAGCAACTACAGCAATAGTATCGCACTATTCGAGAGTGTGATGGTGTCACTCCGTGTATCCATCTGCTCAGTAAGTGTGTCCCTAAACAAACCGACTGACCATCTACTTGGGGCCAGGCGCAGTGCAAGCGCTGGGGCTGTGGTGGAAGCAGACGCGGCCTGCGGGGAAAGGGTGACGGTGGGAAAATGATTCAGTTTCCTTAAAAAATGAATTCAGGGTCAGACACACCAAGAATGGGTGCGAAAAGCACACGCGTTCTCATCCCAGGCCACGCAATGCTAGTGTTTCCTTCTCTTGAACAGTGTGTGTAGACCTCAGGCAGCTACAACAGAAAAACTTCTAGAGATCACTTTGGAAAGTTAAAAACCCAGCTAAGAGAATGCGTAGGTTTTAACATCCTAAATCTAAATCCTCAGAATAAGGAGGAAAATTAACATTTTAGTGAGGAGAAAAAAGGTGGGAATTTCGGGAAAAATGTGATACATCATTCGAAGAGGAAAAATATTTGCAATGATGATGAGCAAGATTTAAATAATTAACAAGATTATTAATTCAGATGCTTAGCAACAATTCAGCTGGAGTTAAAAAAATTTTCTTCAGTTTTGCCAGAGCAGGGGTCAGCAAAATATGGCTGATGGGCCAAACTGGGCCTGCTGCCCGTTTCTTCCAGTAAAGTTTTATTGGAACCCAGCCATACTCATTCATTTATATATTGCGCGTGGATGCTTTTGTGTCGTGATGCAGAGTTGAATAGCTGTGAGAGACTGCATGGCTCTCAAAACCTGAAGTATTTACCGTTTGGACCTTTATGGTAAAGGATTGCCAACCCCGGTGCTGGACCATTATTGCTGGAATCATTATTATGAGTAGGTTCCACCTTTTACTGAGGCATTACGGGCACACTGGGACAGAACCACAGTTTTTAGACTTGGCAGAAATGCTGTACAGTATGATATGCTGTATAGGGAAACTTTCCTAATTCTAAGCAGCTCCCAGAGATAAGAGGCTTGAATGAGAATTTCAATTCTCCTTCTGGTGATGGCATAGCCAATGCTATGGTGGCCTTCAACCACGTGGATGTAATTTTCCTCTCTTGCCTTTGGAGTTGGCCAAGGAAACTACCTTCAGAAAGAGGACACTGCTGCATTCATTTTGATTTAGAGAAGAGCAGGTAGAGTTTGAGGAGATCCCACTGCCCTGGGCATCGAGGCCTAGGGCTCCACCCTGACTGTGCCCTGGGCCAGCTATGTGAATAAATGAAGCGCGTGACTCCCAGCAACTTTGTGCCTCCTGTAAGAGAGAGAGTTGGAAGAGATGAGTCTCAAAGTTTCCTCCAGATCTAAAAATTTCTGTGAATGTTGAAAATGTATTCAAAAATTGGAAAAGTAAATTTTGGCGAATCCTCTCTGTGGTTTCCTATTGCAAGTGGAACTGAAAACTGGAAAATGAAGTGTATCTGGCAAATATGGGACAAAAACAGCATTGGCTTGAAAGACACTATTTAGGGAACGGTCTTAGCTATGCAAAACTTGTTCTATAGTAAGAAATATGAAGTAAAAACCACGACAAGAGCCCATGTATGCGTGTGCGTGTTTGGAGCCAATGGTTTTGAAGCTGCTACTCAATTCTGCAATTTGGCTGTTAATTTATAAGGTCACAAATCGTGATTTTCCTAAAATGTGAAAGACACATGCTTTACTGCTACCGCTCAAAAGATTTCATGATCTAAAAATATCAAGCTTCCAAATCTCATCACATACAGCGGAGTTCAAATTCATGACACCCAGGAGACCAGAGGGAGGAGGAGACGTGATGAGGGTTTGCTGCTAAGATTTGGCCACCAGGCATTCCTTACCTTGAAGCTCTCTTCTTCCTCTTTGTACACTGGGTTCATGCCAGTTATGGCCTCAGTAAACTCGGCTGCGGTGAGTGGTTTGTGAGTTTGTTGCCGGATTCTCCGATCTGTGAGCACACCTTTAACCACTTTGACGATATGTCCTTGGGTGAAGCCATCGGTGACCTTTGCCAGGCAGCTGACATTCAAGGTCTTAGAAAGGACTCCTCCATGGCGCTGAATGATTTGTTTCCACAAAACTGTTGCAGCCAAAGTGGCAGAAAAGACACAGAGAACAAGGGTTACCACAGAGAAAGAAATGTCAGTCTAGCTCTCAGTACGGAGTCGCATCTCATCCAGAAAGGATGCACAGGAAGTTTATTCCAATGTATTTGTAATTAAAATGAGCAGAAAGCCAAATAACTAAATGCTTTCCTCTGGGGAGTTTTCAACCATAAGATACAGTTGTCAATGACCCTGAGATCTGTAGATCTACAAGTCCCTGCAAATTAATAAGGAAAAAATTAAACCACAGTCAGGACGGCTTTAATGTGTGCCTATAAAGATGTTTAAATCTTTTAACATCGAAAATCACATAGCGTGTCTGTGGCATCTCTGCTCGTCAGAATATTATATTTTCCAAAGAATTTTGATAAGCAGTTTAACTTATTATTCTATTTCAGTTATGAAGTTCATTTCTTATATAATTTTTGTATCTAGAACTAGAAAGCATATTCTAGTTTCCATTAGCTACAGCCAAGTTCGGTACTTTTGGGTGTAAGACACTGCGTTATACATTGTATTAACTGAGCCATCTGACCCTATTCTGTCCCTCAACAACTGTAAACACGCAATGGTTGACTAAAATCCATCAGCTGGCGACCTGGGTAAATGAGAGATTTCAATTAGAATGCAGAGATGGTGTGAAAATGAATTATGAAATAATTCTTGATGCTTTACTTTAGAGATAGAAGGAACTCCCGTACAATATTTAAAATAATACTGCATTTGGAGAACTACGTCCATTCTCTACAGAGTGCTTCTGTCAAGAGCACTTCGAGGGCAATACTGAGACTTGCTGTAGCTTATTTGGTGGTATCCAGACAGTGAGGAGGATGAAGGGCATTCCCAAGACCACCTGTCTCAGCATCAGAGGTCGTCAGTCCCAACACTGGGACGATCTGGTCAAACGTCTCTTGAGCATTTTGACCTTATTTGAGGAATATTTGAAACAGTTTTTAAAAAATGGCCATTACTATTTGATCTGAGCTTTGCCGGGTCTGGCAAAGGGTTAATTCTGGATCTGTTAAATGACTACACCATCCATATACATTGATCCAAAAATGGTAGATAAAATGAAAAGCTCTACTTACTGGAAAGAAATAAAATAAAACTATGGCCCACATCGGAGAGTCTGGTTTTTGGGCCACGGGCTATTCTACCAGTTCACTTCCACTGTCCTCTTTGGCAGGGGTCCTTGTCCCTGGGTGGGAGAGTTTAAGTTGTAACATGGGGCCTGCCGGATTCTCTGAGCTGTGGAAGATCAGGCACCAAGGGTTTGGAGATCTGCAGGGAGACCAACAAGGGCCATGAGGACCCCAAATTGGCCTAAAGCATCATCTAATCCCCTGGATCTACTCTGCTACTTCCTTGGCAAGTTTATTTAAGCTTGAGCCCAAATGAGTCTTATTTGTAAAATAGGAGGAGGATTTACGTCTCAGCGCTGCTGTGTGTACAGCGCTGCTGGTGTATCCTGGAAGAGCACCATCCTAGCATGTGATGGGTGCTTTATTTTCCGTAGCTGAATTACTGTTGTTATTACAATTATCATTGCGATTATTCTTCATTCCATCTTGCACTGAGGTTTCCCAACCCTCAGCAAAACATTAATTATAAAAGATAACAAAAAATACCCTACAGAATATTTCCAAGCATGTTCATGTAAAGACAGATTATAACAGGTGAGGATTATCCTTATCTAAACGCAACTGTTGTAGAGTCAGAAATTGGAAAATACAACCATGGTAAAAATGACAAACAGCAGCAACTGGACAACACCATCACTTGAGACCTGATATGTCTTTTGTCCAAATTTACAACATCTAAAAAAACATACCAGCAGGTCTGAGTGCTGAGTCTGGAAGCTGAGAAGGGAACATGTTTTAGGGGAGGGTCACAGGTGAGGCCCCTGGAGCTGAGGTAGACACCCCAGGCTGGAAGCTCGGGACAGCTCCGTCCTGGGCAGGAATGGGCAAGATTCCTACCCATGGAATGGCCAGTGGGGAAGCGGTGAGGACCAAGCATCCCCCAGCAACGGACAGGAGCTCTCCCCACCTCCCTGCTACGCTACAACAATCATAGTCTTGGAAGTTTCGTGCCCAAATCATCCGACCTTCTAACAGGAGTAGACTCTCTAAAGTCAAGACTCACTGGTGATCGGGTACAATTACCCTGGTATATCACGTACATGTAAACACCCTGTTGACCATTTAAAATGCATGATACTTGGTATTCATGCAGAATTTTGGTTGAGATTCCTCAAAATACACAAATCATTGATTATTTTCCAAAGATCACCATTTTTCAATGGAGGCACAGTAAGAGAGCTCTGTGAAGCAGTCCCAGGTACGGTGGGACAGTCGTCCTGAGATGCAGAGGACGGGAACGAGAACCAGCCTGACTTCCTTCTCGTGGCCATGGGCTCCAGCCACGCACCTTTCAAAGAACAGCTTCTACTGCTTTCACGAAGCTGCCACTCATGGTTCTCGACACTCAGAGAGCTGCTTGGGGGCCGGAGGGGGAGTCAGGCGCAGAGTGAAGCTCAGTGCGGCGGGCTCGGTTGAGACATTGGATCCCCAGCAAGTGGCCGCGTCTGTGCCCGGGGTGCAGGTGGGCAGCACACGCAGCAGTCTTGGAGTCTGGCCATGGCCATGGTGGTGAGGACCGAGGCCGGGGACCTGGGAGTGCCGAAGGCAGAGCGGGGTCAGGGCCGAGTGCTGTATTTTCCTTTCCTCTCTTGGACGCAAAAGGCTCCTCATTTTTTCAGACAATTTACATTCTCTTTTCCTTCTTTAGATAAGAAAGAATGTGGTCTTTGGCGTCCCTTCATCTCCTTTTGACATTCCCAATTGATTCCATCCTGGCTCATGCTCAAGATGATGTAGTATCTCAAAATTCACTTTTATTTGAGATTTCACAAAAGCCCAAGGGGTGAATAATGTGATTTGGGTGAGCTTCTGACCCCCTGAAGCCTAAAATTCCAGGTTAAATCTGCAGACATAACCTGGCCCCATCTGACCAGACACTGGGTCCGCCCAGACACAGGGCGGGGGTTGTGTGTGGGATAAATGGAGTTGTTAGTGGAAAAGACCCCAAGGGGAAGCATTAGGAACAGAGAGAGAAGGAAACCCTAAGGGACTCTGGGGACCAGACAAGGCATTCGTCAGCCTGGGGGTGGATTTCCTTTGCAGAGACAGCTCGATGTGGGGCGAGGAAGGAGACACTGAACTGTATTTGGTGAACCCTGAGGACTGTTCCTCAGCTGGTCTCTCTTCCCATCTCAGTACTGTTACTTGCCCACCTGCCTGGGGGAATTTGAGAAGTGGGACCGTGCGTGTCTTGCACACCTTGGGCGCTCGCTGCTGGCAGACAGATGGCCAAGCAATGGGCCACGTTATGGATTCGCAGCCCATGCTTTATGTGCTGGAAGAGACTATTTTTGATTACTGCAAAGACAGGAACAGTCTTTCTTTAAGATGGATGCCCCAGCCACTGTGGCTGTGAAAACTTCAAGGTCACTGGAGGAAATGTTGGACAGTGTTTATGATGTCGGCCGGAATGGCGGCCTGAGCAAATCGCTCATTGAGGGAGAAATATGACAGGCATGTGGTTTAGTGGACAGAGCCCTGGGCCCCGCAGAAGTGCTTTATGCAGGTCTGTCATCTGCCCGTAGGTGAGGGGACGCCTCCTGTCCTGCGTCTCCCACGATGATGCTGCAAGGAGACTCAGGTAGGAGCCTGAATGTGATCCGAATCCTGAGGGATGCCTGGTGTTTTATCAAAGGGCCAAATTGCCAGTGCTATACATCAATAGCTTCATTTTTAAAGGGCCTATAGTTTTGTCAAACAATAGAAACCATTCAATCCAAAGGCAAGAATAACGCTCTAGCCCCTTCAAATTAATAATACCCTACCTTATTCCATCAAGATGGCTTAAAATATATATAATACAAAAAAAAGAGGAAAAGAAAAAAGAAGCGAGCGCAAGAGGGGAGAGGAATAGCTCTGGCAGAGCCGGGAGCGTGGACTGCCTGGCATGGATGGCAGAGACTGGGGCTGAGACTGCTGTGCTCCCGTCTCTGGTCTCCTGTCTCTGCGTCGTCTCCCTTCCTGGCTGAACGTCCCTGCCCCCTGACCCTCGGTGGGGCCATGGGACTCATTCTGGCCACTGCGGTACAGGCAGAAGAAATGTTGGCCTCTTCCTGGTCTAGTCCTTAAAAATCCCCTGTGACGTCCTCCTCTCTTCTGCTGATGTTGGCTGGATGCAAAGGACCTGGTGGGGGTTTGAGGCCCTAAAGGATGGAGAAGCCACTAGATGGGTGGAGAAATGGCTGGGCCCAAAACACTGACTTGTGAAGCCAGGATCACAATTTATCAAGACGGAAATAAGGAAATAAGCACACATGGCACATAAAGCGGCTAATAAGCTAGTGGTCTACCATATATGGGGAGTAGAGGGTTGTTCTTTTAGCAAATAAAATTGATCAGGAACTTCAGGACAACCTGATAGAACCATATGTCCCCTCTGTTTTGGTGGTGCTCATGTGACTGGAGAAGGATTAATGGAGACTGAGTCTGACCTAATCATTGCGTGGTTACCATTAATGCTGACCACCACTGCCACCAACACCACGGCCACCAGCACCTCCTACTGCCACCGTGACCACCAGCATCTCCGTTATTGCCATGCAACCATTGCCCACCAGCACCGCCAGCCTCCCTGGCACTGCTATGCACACCGCCGATGTTGCTACCTCAACTGCCACCTCCCTAGGGTCACTCCACACTGCCACCACTGCCACCATTACCTCCACCAGACTGTATGTCCACGGTCATCTCCACTAGCACACGCCGTGCCCCCCTCCACCTCCACTGTCTCTAACACTAACAGCGCCATCGCCGTGTCAACACCAATCTGTCACCACTGCCCACCACTGCAGTGCTAAGGATGCCTTTCTACAAGCCACACCCATGTTGTCCGCTGCTCTCCTATCTGGCCTGGCCCTGTGGCTTCCGCCTGGCCAGTAGAGTGTGCTGACACTGGCTCCATGTGACTTGTGAGGCTGGGTCAGCTACTGCCTCAACCTCTTGAAACGTGTGCTTGTGAGGCCTGTCACATGTGGGACCCTCATGGGACCTGCCGCTGTGTGTGGAAAGCCACGTGGAATGGCCCCGGCTGAGTCCCCACTGACGGCCAGCAGCTCTGGTCACACGAGTGAGCCGTCTTGGGTGTGCACACTGTCCGGTCTCCAGACCGCTCGGGCCCCAACTGACATTCGACTGTGACATCATGAGATACCTTGAGGAGAGCAGCCAGCTGAGCCCAGTCAACCGCGGAACCATCAGAGGGAACAATTTGTCATTCTGAGTCACTGGGGAGGCTTTCACACGGTAATAGAGGACAGAAACAGCCGCCAGCCGTCACCAGCTGACTTTGCCGCTCACCCCATCCCACCGCCCCTCCTCCTCCAACCACCACCTCCTCTCCCTCCCCTTGCCTGTGCCACCCATACCCATGCCCTCCTGGTGCCACCGTGGGGCTGGGTGCTCTGCTAACCACCGCGGAGGAGGGTCGCAGCAGCCCTGTGGTGCAGATGGCTCTCCTACTTCGCAGGTGAGAACACGGAGGCTCAGGTTGACTGACCTGTCAAGGTCACCAGCTATTAAGGGACAGAGCTGGGACTCTGAGCCAGGTCTCCTGAGACCCCCAATCTTGTGGCTTTTCCGATTTCATTGCGCTGCCTCAGAAGCACTTTTTTGTATTGTTCTCATTTAAAAGTATGCTTCAAAAGAAGTGGATTTTGAATCTGTCTATTCAAGAAGAAAGAATTGAAAAAGTAAGCATTCGTATTTAATATTTATTTTAAGTAAGTCAATATACAGCTGGACTTTGAGACGGGGGGAAGAAACCAACCGGGTAAAAAGAAATGGTGTTCTATGGAAAAGACACCATCGCCACGGGCGCAAGATGAGTGATCCTAATCTACCTGCCAGAAGAGAACTTAGCACCCACAATTTTGTCACCATCAGGGCCAAAAATAATAATCTCCATCCACTTTCCCTTTGTCTTGGGCAAACAGAAATATGTTAACAGCAGAACAAAGACATATAGCTTCCCTCCTGTGGCCAGGGGTTCACATTTCTGGCACGTGCCCCCTGTTGGGTTCAGATGTGCGTGCCCCGGCAGGGCACAGGCTGCACTGGACTCATCTGATGCTCCCGGGGTCACGACGGCCACCCCAGCTCCACACGCTGGCAAGCAAACAACAGACGACCCAGGCTCAGCTACCATACATGGGAAGGGGCTGGGGGTACTTGCCGTATCTGGAAGCATAGTCCGGCCTGGGAACCAAAATAATTTTTTGGTAAACTTTGCAAAAGGATTGGAGTTCAGCATCAAAAGGACGCTGTGTTGTCCCCACAATCAAAATCCTGTCATCTGGTTTCAGGAGTTTCAGGATTTTCGGAAGCTGTTTTTTCAGGCGTTTAGGTTCATTCTGGGAGAAAGAGAGAAGGAAAACAATTGGCCCATGTATAGAAATTCAAATGACAAACTAAAGAAAATCTACTCTTAGAAATAGAATGTGCTTTGGCATACGTTTGTTAAAGTGATTTCAAAGCTCTGGAAAACACAATTTCTTCAAGTTTGTCCTGGGACGAGTCTTGGAATGTGCTTCCTATGTTGACCGGGTCATTTTTAATTGTTGGCATTTCCTTTCCTTAACCTCTGGCACACAGATTTGGAGAGTGGGAAGGAAGGAAGCACCTGACTGGACATTCGAGCACCTTGACCCTGAGAATGGGAAATAGTGGCTGATTCCCAAGCGGAAGGAAGCTCGCTGGGACTTATAATTAGGCCGTGGTGCTCCGTTTTCCGCAGTGGCTTGGAAGGTGAACCATGGTTTCCCTTGCTGATGGCTGTGACAGTGAGGAACCGCGGCCGGAACTCATGTCTGACACATACCTGGTTACACAAGGTTGTGAAACTCCTCTCTCTGGAGCAGTCTGGAAATGGTTTGAAGCTGTATGATTTTAGTATAATCTCAGCACAAATGATGAAGAGGAGAAAGCTAGGACGGGCTCTCTATTTGGTACCCCAGGGAGGATGACTTCCAGCTGTGGGAGTCAGAGCTGGCCATATTGCCATGGGCAACAGCCTGGTTTTAAATTAACCTTGCTGGCACAGACAAGGGAAGAGGAAGTGTGGGAAGTGGGGGGAACGCCAGGCGTGCTGGTGGGAGCCTCCATGGAGATGTCCCTAGCACAACGTTGGCCATTTTTGCTACCATTTGGCTGGTGGCTAATGAGGTTCTGCATCTTTTCATGTGTTTATTGGTCATTTGTGTGTCATCTTTAGAAAAACATGTATGCAGATTGTTGGCCCATTTTACAAGTTGGGTTATTTGTCTCTTTATTATTGAGTTGTAAGAGTTCTTTATATTTCTAGATACAAATCCCTTATCAGTACATGGCTTGCAAATATTTTCTCCCATTCTGTGGGTTGTCTTTTCACTTTCTTGATGGTGCCCTTTGTAGCTGAAAAGTTTCTAAATTTGATGAGGTGCAATTTAATTTTTCTTTTATTGCTTGGGATTTTGGTGTCATACCTAAGAAACCATTGCATGATCCAAAGTCACAAAGATTTATACCGATATTTTCTTTTAAGGGTTTTATCATTTTAGTTCTTACTTTTAGGTCCTTGATACATTATGGGCTGATTTTTGTATATGGTGTGAGGTAGGGGTCCAGCTTAATTCTTTTGCAGGTGGCTATCCTGTTGTCCTAGCATCTATTGTTGAAAAGACTATTCTTTCTGCATTGAATTGTCATGGCACCTTTGTCAAAATTGACTGTAAATGTAAGGGTTTATTTCTGGACTGTCAAGTCTATTCCACTGATCTACATTTCTCTACTTATGCCTGTACCACACTGTCTTGATTGCTGTAGCTTTGTAGTAAGTTGGGAAGTGAAATTGGGACATGTGAATCTTCCAACTTTCTTTTTTCTTTTGAGGATTGTCTTGGCTGGGTCCTTTGAATTTCCATATGAACTTTAGAATCAGTTTATTAATTTCTGCAAATAAGCCAGCTGGAATTTTGATGGAATCTATAAATCAATATTTTGATTTATCTTAACAATATTAAATGTTTCACCCATGAATATGAAATGACTTCCATTTATTTAGGTCTTCTTTAAATTTTTTCAACAATGTTTTTTAGTTTTCAGAGAAGTCTTATACTTCTTTTGTGTCAAAGAAGAACCCTGTGAGAACAATTTCTATGGAGTGGTGAGGTTGGCGAGCTGATGGTGGTGTGCAGGAGTGAGTGGTGATGGTGAAGAGTGACTAGTCGTTTAGGAAGCTTGATGGAGAACAAAGCAGGTGGCGGAGGTGACTGGGACGTGTGGGGGGCATATGAGAGCTGCCCAAAGACTAGTGGAAGGACTGATCCAAGGGTTCCGGTGAGGACAGAGACGGAGACCCAATGGGGTAGAGACATGCTTACATGATCTGAGCCCAGACCTAGCAATCCAGTTGCCAAGGTGATGGCAGTGTGGTCCCTGCCCCCTCTAAGGCAGGAGATGATACTGCCACCTGCATGTCCTGAAATGGCAGGGACATTTGTAATTAATTAGTCTATTGGATAACAAATGTTGATCCTGGGCTGCATCCAGAGCGACACCCTTGCTGATGGTGAGGTACAGTCCCACTAGTAGGGGATGGAAACAAGAGACGTGTTCCTTCAGTCAGCTCCCCTGCACGCGGGCCACCCGTTCCAGTTCAGAGCTGCCCATTATGCATGGGGCCCGTGCACTCATTGATCATGCCAGCAAACATCCCCACGATCACCTGGCAGTCTCCGCGACTGCCGCCCTTACCGCTGGGCCTGCCAGCCCCTCACAACTGTATTATTGTGGGCAATTTCCAATTAGTGGCTAGCATCCACACAGCAATTTCAATTTGCTTTTCTGCAGTTGGCGCCACAAAACAAGCGCCGCAGCCAGCACCGGCAGAGCATGCCGTTCCCTTGTGGAGGGAACTGTGGTGTCCAGGAAGGTGCTTGCTAGATGAAGTAACAAAGGGTAATGGTGCAGAAAATGCAGGAGCAGACTGTTTCGCCTCATTCTCTGCTGCCTTCGCCTCATGCACAAACAACTGACTGACCGCTTTCTAGCCGCAGATGAGAGAAGACGACCGCTCCCCTCCTGGGAGGAGAAGAGGAGGGCGCTGCCCAGGTGTCTTCCAGGGACAGCGGTGTGTTTGTAAGAGTGGCAGGGGTTTGGACTTTGCTGCCATTCTGGAGGGATAAGGGCTCCTCAGGGGTTGCTGAGGACAATATCCGGGGAATGGGAGTGTGGACAAGAGCATGGAGAATTCTGGAGTGGTGCACATACGGTTCTCTGACAAGATGGCCCCAAAGACAGTTTTCAGGATGAGGCCTAGGGTGGCCCTGGGGTTGAGGAGGGCTGGCGGGGGCGAGGTGTAGTTTCAGCATTCCAGGAGGGCTGACCTTCTGGGGAAGCTGGCGGTTTGCCCTCGGTGCCTTCCATCCTTGGCACAGCACCCAGGCGAGGAGAGGGGCCTGGCCCCTGCATCCACATAGACCTGTCTCTGAATCCCAGCACGAGCCCTGACCAGCTGTGTGCACTCCTGGAGCCTTTGTCCTCTTCCGTGAGACAGAGAAAACAATGCCTTCCTCCCAGGGTTGCTGGGAGTTTCCCTGACATATGTATTGTGTCTGGGGAAAAGGTGTTTGATCAGTCCCTCCCCACCCCTGCCGCCAGGGTCCTAGGGGTCGGGGCCTCATGTCCCTGCACCCAGGAAGCTCAGCTCCTGACGTAGGCTCTGTGCTCAGGAGCCGTCGTGGCCACCCTGGTCTTCTCTGTTGCCTCGTCGCTTTTGACTGGGTGAGCTTCATGCCTTTCACTGTGGGAGGAGCCTTAACCCAAAGGCAGAGGCACTGGAGGGTGGAATCGGTCACTGTGGATTTCCAAGGGGCCTTCCCGGAGCCCCTCAAATCCAGCAGGCAGCCGCCCCAGGGCGAGAGCAGCCCTGCTGTTTGTACTGTGGCTGGAGCTGGTAGAACACTCTGGCCTCATGGTGTCTTTGCAGGTGGATGTTCTTCTCTGTGCCTCAGTGCCTTTGGGACCAGGGAGCCTTTGGGACAGTGGCTGGGACAGGTGTGAGAAAGGCTGAGTGATGCAATGAGGGGTGGTTGCGATGCCTCCTGGTTCCTCTCACCTGCCGATGCAGCTGCTGCCGTCGGCTTTTGGTCATCACCTTCGGAACGTGGATGTCCACTGCTTGTGACTACCCAGGGCCCTGTGGCTGAGGAACGTGGGTGAGTCTCAGAAGTCTCGGAGGCTGAGAGGCTGGGCAGGAGCACAGAGCTGGCCCATGCCTGCCCGGGGACCCAGGTTACTGCTGCGGTCTCTGCACTCTGGGGTGCAGGCCTAGTGACGCCATCAGCACACGGTGCAGGATGGAGTGGAAACCGGGGTTCCTGTGCGGGTTCTACATGCGAGGGCGCTGGAGCTGGGGGCGGGACGCTGGGTAGGGTGTTTGTGCCTCTTGCCGCTCTGTCTGGGCCCCGGGTGGCTCAGGTCCCCTGGCTGGCCTTGTGGATGTTCAGGGACCCAGGGAACCTTCTCCTGTATTCCCTGGGGACTGACCCCAGTGCCTGATTCCTGGTCTTCAACGCAGCTCACCCTGCAGACAGATGACGGACTCTCCCAAACGCAGAAGAGAACAGAGGAAAGGTCCGACCCGTCCAGGCCGCCAAGGCCTTCTCTTCCTACAGGAACAAACCTACCTGTGGACGGTGTTTGTGGGCATCAGGGGTGGTGCTGAGAGGATGCCTCTGTGCCAGAAAGAAGAGGGCTGATTTGGGGGGTTCTGGTGACGCCACCCTGCTTTCATCTCCCTCCTCTGCCAGTCTCCTGGCCCTTCACTGCACGAGATTTAAAAGCCCTGAGCCCACATTTCATTCCCACTGCCAGCTCTCGCTGGCACCCCCTCAGTTCTTCCCCGTGCTCCTCTGGCTCTTGCAAGTGAACGCTCGCATCCCTCCTGTTCTCCAGGGACGCAGGGGTGCAGGTGAGCCGCCGGCTGTCGTTGCTGACGCAAACCGACAGCTTGAGGGCATTGTGGGAGAGAACTCGAGGGAGGCTTCCTGATGCAGAGGATATTCTGGCTGGGACTTTTCAGCTTGATAGTTAAGGAAGTGGAGGCTCAGAGAGGTTTGGTCATTACTCAAAGTCACACAGCCAGCTATGGTGAGTCCCAGGCCAGGGTCTCCCCACCATCCAGGCTAATGTCTGGCGGGAGAGAGAGTAGCCCCTGCCCATTAAGGAGCCAAACTTCGATGACTTGAGGTGTGGGACACCGTGGATTACCCACCACCCGGCATTTCCCTTTGGACCTATGAGCTGGGTTAGGGTCCTGTCATTCCTGTCATCCCTTGTGTACATATGCGGGGACGTCTTTGCTTCTGTGTCAATGAGGCAACGTCGCCAGCAGAGGGCGCTAACTGCCAGAGTCCCAGATTAAATAATAAATGAGTCCTCTTTAAGAGTTTCTGAAATGACAGGGCAATCAAGGCTCATTTGAGGAAGAAAAGATTGAGCTTTCATTCTTTATCCAAATCATCTCTACCTGCTAAAAATGATGTATAATACATAAGGATCAAAAGTGATTAAAATCCTTATGAATTTAATCAGAAATTCACAGTTAACCACTATTTGCTTTGGTGCAAATTGATGTGGAATAACAATCATGTGTATCTGCAAATTTTTTTTAACTTGTGGGAAATTTGCTGGTGATTTGTGGGGGGAAGTGCGGGGGAGAGGGGGCCATTGAACGGAGAGAAAAGGAGGAAGGAAGCGCTGCGGCCGGAGTCCCCGGAGGCTCCGACTGCCACATACTTAGCAGTTCTGTTGACGGTCTTTGTTCGTAAATTTCAGGCCTTTTGCTATTTATTACTACGAACAATAGAAACTCCTAATAATAACTCCAGTGTGTGCCGTTTGCTTTAACTGAGCAGAGTTCTCTAAACTGTTTCTCACCCTCAAATCCCATGTTCGGGTGGAAAATGCCCCTTCTTCCGCACTTTCTTTCATTTTCTTCTAAATTATGTTATGCCTCATAAAATCAGACCACTGGATCCTTTCTAATACAGACAAGTGTTGAGGGCAGAGAGAGACCACTGTGGGAGATTTCAAAGCCCCGACGTTTCCTCCCTCCCTGGTAAGGGACCACTTGGAGGAAAGAAAAGGCCAAAGTAAGGAACGACGGAGAAGCCCTCACCATCTTTTCCGCATTGGGAACTTTCTTGTAAAAGGTTTTCTCTGTGTCTTCGATCCACACCACGGAGGGCTGGAGCTCTCGAGCCACCTGCGGGGAAAAGAGCATTGGCTGCGAAAGCATTTCCCCCGTGGGCGCGCATCTGATGCCCAGCAACAGCAGGACCGGGGCTCCCGCCATGGGTCCCATGGGTGGCAGTGCTGCCACCCATCCACAGGCTCTGCTGCACATGGGCATGAATGCATTTTGCAGCTCAGAACCTGCCCTGACAGGGTCCCCTCCACGGCAGGGTGGGCCTAGCCTTGGCCCCCTGTCTGCTCCGAGGCCTGTCCTGATGGGCAGCACACGGCTCGAGGACAAACACTCTGCTCTAGGACCCTGGGCCTCCACTCGCTTTGGCTTGAAAGAAGCCCGTAGTTTTCTGCTGAATGGGGAACTGAGCCACGAGTTTTAATTGCAGCCTCTCGCCGTCCCCAGGTCGATTCAAGTTTGCTTACCACGAGGAAGACCGTTTCAGCACAGGGGCCGCACGACGCTATTTGTTCAACTCGGTTTGGCTGTGCCTTTGTGGCTGCGGCTCCCCCCGGAAGGCGGCTCCGAGCCCCTCCAGGCGAGCAGGGCCTCGCCACTGAGCTGGGATGGGACTTACCGTGGGCCCGTGAATAATTGCCACGCACCTAACAATCTCTTCAAAGCACCCCCATGATAGCAAAGTTCAGGTATTTCTGCAACAATTTGTGCTTTGTGTGAAATTGTGACAGATGAAAGCCACAGCGATACGGTGTTATGTACTCTTATTTTTACATTTCTTGAAACATCATTAAGGCAGCAGGCATGATGTTTAAACCAAGACAGGCATTCAGCGAGCGGTGGACACATCACTGGGAACACCGCGGCTGTGCCGTTTCCCCGTGTTCTGTGTGAAGAGGCAAGTTGGGCTATAAAGCAGATTACACACCTTCAAAGACAAAAGTGGACGCTGATGGAGCTTGATCCTTCTGCTGGTCCAACACCTGGGCTGGCTGCATTCACATCCCCACACACAGGACGTTCAGAGAGCAAACAGTAGTAGCCAAGCCCTGTTTGGTAGGTGTTATATTTTAGACCCAGAGCCACAGAGTTCAAGAATCGAGAATCCCAAATTTTAACCCCGGGCACGTGGAGTGATCACAGCAGTTAGCGGTGGGCAGGCGTGTGCCAGGCATTGCCACTTGCTTTGCACCCGGCATCACACGGCGTCGGGGCCAGCACGCGCCCAGCACCACCTCCTCCCCGAGGGCTTCATGTGTGAGCATGTGCATTCTCATCCCAGCCCTATGGAGTGGGCATCACTGTCATCATCCCTGTTTACAGATGGGGAGGCCAAAGACATTGAGTGAGGGCCTGGCTCACGCACCTACACAGTGGCAGAAGCAGGACTCAAGGCCAGGCTGATGGCTACGGAGCCAGTGCTGGAAGCAGAGGCCACGCCCATGGCTTCTCTCTCTACTCTTCCCCACAGGTGTGCGGGCCAGCCCTGTGCCTGTGCTCCAGAGGTGACAGGACCAAGGCCCCGAGAGACCAGTAATTGGCTGAGTTAAGACCCAAGCCCTTATCTTTGGATCCCACAGGCCTTGCCCTCTTCCTTCATGGGACATCCCTGCTCCTACGTCAGACCTGTGCACCGGACCTTCCACCCCTAGTCCCACCGAATTTGCGAGTGGCCTGCATTTGTGAGTGCCTTATTTTGGCCTTGCCACTGGGAGTTTATTTTTTGGCACCAGAATCTGAATAGATATTGACTCTTTCCTGGTTGTAGATCACTGGAGAAAAAGACTAATAAATTCAATCGGATTTGGCAGTAATGGATTCAAACAATTTTTGTTGTACCTGCCCCTGCCCTGCACACAGTGGTCTCATTTCTCCAGCCCCCAAGCACGTGTTCTGGAATTTGGAGAAACGACACCGCCTGGTTCTGTTGCCCCCTGGCTGGGGTGCGTTTCCCACGGCTTCCGGGCTGGGGCCGTCACTGCTCAGGCAGGTGGGCCCTGCCCCTCTCATGTCCCCCCGGCCTAGCAGAGGGCTCCAAATCTCCAATCAATACATAGATTATTCGCTATGACATCTGATAGTGAAATTGAGAAGCTGTTACATTTAAAATCCTAGCTAGATGACTGCTAGGACACCAGGCGCGGCCACTGGCCCTGAGCTTCCATCGATGGGACGGATGGGATGCCGCGGATGAAGGAGCTCTCCCTCTCCGCTGCTCTCTCCCTCATCTTTGACTTGTTTATTTAATAAAGTCAGCTCTCTGGTAGGTCAAAGCAACGTATTAAGTGGTTCTCCGGCTGAATACACTTTTCTTCAGAGAAAGCTTGGGTACGCAATGCAGACTGAAAGGGCTCTCAAGTTCTGGTCTCTGTCCAGGAGGAAATCCAGGCTGGAGAAATCCAAGAGGAATGCAGGGCCTGCTCCAGGGCCTTGGGGATGGAGCTCGCTTCGTTCATGGAGCTGATCCATGCTGACCTTGGCTGGCACTAACCCTCTGCTGGAGTGGCGAGGACAGGAAGAGGAATGGGTGGGCCTGTCCCTGCAAGGTCACCTGCAACCAGGAAACCAAGCGAAATGCAGCCCAGCCAGAGGGCAATGGTACCAGGTAGTGTTGGCAACAACACGTGCTTGGAATTTGGAGATAAGAGACTGCTGGGTGTGGGCCAGCCGCAGGTGAGTGAGGAGGGAGCGTTGGACCACCCAGATAAGGAAGCAGCCTCTTTCCTTCCTCAGCAGTTCACTGGTTCTCATTAGGGTTCCAGGGAGCTTTGACAACTACAATGTCGGGGTCCCAGCCCTGGAGATTCCGTCGAAGGATCAGCTGAAGGCACGTGGTCCAAGGAACCACAGCAAGCGGTCGAGGCATCAGCAGTGTTTGAAGCTCCCAGGTGCTGCTGAAATACAGCCAAGGTCAGAGGCCTGCGCCCAGAGGCACAGGTTTCTGCTGTGAGCCCGCTTAGACACGCACGCCCACATTTTGGCCTTGATGGGGGTTCCCCAGGACCCTGTCCTGGTTTCTCCGCACCCTCTCAGTGCAGCCCTCAGGCTGAGCTCGTCCACTCTCGTGGCTTCAGGTGGCTTGCATGTGCTGGTGACACCCAAAGTCACGTCTGGAGCTCCGGGCTGCATCCTCCCCAGAGTTTCACATCCTTACGTGGAGCCGGTCCTGGAAGCCTCAGAACACAACAGCGCCAAGGCTGAGCTCCCCTCCCGTCCCCTCTGTCCTGCCTCCTGCAGGTTCCGGATGTGACCCCCTCCTACCCAAGGTGGAGACTTGGAGCTGCCTCCGTTGCACCCCCACACCCACCAAGCCCAGAGTCTGTTCTCTGCACCACCTACTCCCTCTCAACTCCGACGAGGCCCCCATTCTCTCGGCTCCTTAGTGTCAGCCCCTGACTTCCTACCAGCAGGACCCGGCACTGCCGTCGGGATCGAGCTCAGGGGCCGGGGGCGGCGCAGGAACCATTGTTCACTAAAAGCTATTTTGAGTCAAAAGCTTCCCTACTTCTAGCCTCCAAAGTAAAGAGGAACATGAGATTCTGTACGTAAAATGTTTCAAGCTTAGAAATAAGATAATTTGTAATAACAAAGGCAAAATCTTATTCCTTTCAATGTCTCTTAAAAACTGAACTGAAACCAATGGAAAAGCAGTTATCACATAAAACGGTCGTCTCTGGTCTTAGCTCGGGTGTGTGTCTGCCACTGCGGCGGGTCAGGCCTCTCCTGTGTCCCTTGGCAGCCACGGCTTTTCCATAGTTTCCACTGGGCCCCTCTATTTTCTCAACCCAGCGTCTCCTAACAGGAATCGCAGGTGCGAGTGCCAAGTATGTCAGCGTTCCTTTCCTCGTCTGCTTTTAACCAAGTAAGCTACGCAGGTGGACTCGAAACACAGGACTCTCCTTGGAATAACTTTGAGACCGACAGTCTTATTTCTAGCACCTGATCTAGGCTGTTGTGCAACACTGGCCGCGGCATCCTGTTGAATGCGAAAGTTGATGACTGTGTGCTCCTTCAGAACTGCTGGGGGAAGGCCACACTTCCTGTATTTTAAACTCACGCTGTGACAGATACCTTTCCCAGGACGATCACCTGCTCTGGGGCCACACAGGGCTGTGGGGATGATGCCGCTTGGAAGGGCTTGATTATTATCAAACACAACAGAAGACATTTCCCAAGAGTGTTCTTTGATGATGATAATGAACAGCCAGCTTTGGTTTGCAAACTGCGTTGACTTCCGTGACACCACGTCCACTCTCACTGGCCACGTGCCACGTGCCACGTGCCGTGACAAGCACGCCCCAGGGCATCTCCCCTTGTACAGATGGGGCCGCTGAGAGAGCACCATCCTGAAGCCAGGAGGGGATGGAGGGGCAGAAGGGAGCAGCCAGCGGTGGCCAGTGCTTGCCAGAGGTTTGGTAATGGGGAGGTCGCTGGTGGCCTTGGCAGGGAGTGAAGGGGACAGAGCAAGACAGGGAGCGTTCTTTCAGAAAGATGGGCAGATGGCGAGCTCTCGGCAGCAGGTGTGCTCCAGGGTGGGGGTCAGGGCAGGGAGGAGACTGGAGAAGGCCGGGATGGGAGGGTAGGTGGGGGAGGACCACCTTGGAGGGAGAAAGGCTTCCTTGCAACACATCGGAGGGTGCACAGGTGAGACGAGAGACATTTGCAGATGAGTCACGCAAATATGTCTACTGGAATAAGGTCTTTTCTCACAGTGATGGGAAAAACAGCATTCTTAGTAAAAATTCATAATATACAGACAGCATAAACAACAGCTTTTCTACCTCTGTCTAGAATCAGTGGTCAAACATTTCGTATCTTTACAGACCCTTTGGTCATCCACAGATTTAATGTGGGATTGTTCCGCAGGCTCTGCTTTACGGACGGATTTGCTCCCTTACTGCGAAATCCACTTTCCAACGTGATTGTAACATGAAGCACCAAGATTTATGCTTCGACTTCCCAGTTTTGAACATTTAGATGGTTTCCGCCTTTTACTACACCATCGAGAAGTTAGATGGGCACTTCGGGCACGTGGCTGAGAATTTCCTTAGAACGACATG